GTTGTCTGACTAACTCAGGCCTGAAGTCTAGTTCCCAAACATTTCCAAGCTGGACTGAAGAAGGATGCGCCCTCCATGTGACTGTGAATGCCAGGAGCTGAGATGTTCTGGGGCCTTGGCTACCAGGTAACATCCAAGGGTGACAGCTGGTCAGGCGGAGGGAGTGAAGCAGCCACCGGAGAGATGAAGGAAGCAGCTCCTAGCAGCTTTCTCCTTTGGCCTAGCCTGGTGAGGTTAATGCTGGGGACGCTGGCACAGTCCTAAAATCTAGCACTTGAGAAGTGGAGGCAGGGGGACCAGCCTTAGCTAGTGAAGACACTGTCTGACACAACAACAAAAGGTAACAAACAGCGACTGTGAGGGGAGAGATGGCTCAGCGGTATGAACACTTGTTGCTTTTCTGGAGGACCGGGATTTAATTCCGAGCGTCCATTCGGTAGCTCACTATGGTCTGTGACTCCAGTTCTAGGGTTTCAGATGCCCTCTTCTGGCCTCTGAGGGCACCAGGCACCGATGTGGTGTACAGAGACACATTCGGCCAAAACACCCACTGTAAAATAAAAATAAATACATCTAAAAACAGAAAAGAAAAAGAAACCACAGAGCGGTGACCAAGAATGGCTTTAACTGCCATGTTGTGACACAGCTTTATTTGCCAGAGTTTCAGTTCCTAAGCAGGACCGTAAACATTTGGTAGCCATCTTGGAAGCCAGGAGTACCTTGTTCATTCTTTCAGTCAACATCTATTGAGCACCTACTGTCTGCTACAGTTTTCTAACTGAGCACATATTATTTAGAGGTGAACAAACTTGCCAGGATGCTGACCCCCAGGGAGCTTCTGGTGGCGAGGCAGGCATGAAGCAAAGCCAGCCCCCATGTCAGTGATGCTATGAAAAATAGAATGGAAAGAGTCCAGAGCTAGCCGCTGGAGGGCCCTTCTGAGGAAGGCCTGATGGGTAAGAAATCTACCAGGTATGGAGGAGGTCACCTCTGTGCTCTGTGGAAGAACCAGTGGGAAGAGCAATGGTGGCGAAGATAGTGTGCCAGGCACAGTCCTCACAACTATCTCCTCTTACGAGGCCTTTTGGCTTTCAGCATTAGCAATCAAAGCACAGAGAAGTTAAGAAACCTGCCGAAGGTCACACAGCTGTTAAGTGTTGGGGACTGTGTTCTATATCAAGAGTGTGACTTTGAGGGAGGAAGGGTGATGTCCAGAAAGATGAGGTGCAGAGGGCACGGGGCAGGGGTTTTAGACCTGCAGTTTTAGTCTACGTGTCCTGAGGAGCAATAGGAGATATGTAATCAGGAGAGGGTATGATCCAATGTGTGTGCTAAAAGGCCAGTGGTTAACTTAAAAATTATCATGTTTTATGATCACAAAACTTATATCTGGTCTTTTGGAAAACACAGAAAAGCACCAAGGAAATTTATTTATTCTAATCTCCTTTAGTCTGACACTCAAAAGCATCACTGATAACTTGGAAATACGGCTTTGCAGCCATTAGCAATATTCATATTTAATAGCATTCTTGGAATGATTATACTGCACACATTGTCCCATCAACCAGCACTTAAGGAAATATTGTATCATGTGATGGTTTTATTCCAAGGTTTTGCAGGAAGAGGCAGGCACTGGTGGGAAGGAGGATGGAAAGTCGCTGGCGGCTCTAGCTGATCAGCCCAACAGGAAGTTGGGTCCTGTCCAGGGCACAGGTCTAGGTTGTTACTTGGAGACTGCTTCTGAGCCCCAAGTGGCCTCCTTCGAGCTTCAGTTCCTGAATTTGTTAGCAGACCTATGCTAGGACCTCTTTTTCTCCATACACCTGGCCATCAAAGGGCAGCTGTCCCATGCAGCTCACAGGGTGGGGCCTGGTCCTTCAGTGCTGCTCTGGGTATCTCTAGAACCTTTATCTCTCCCTTTTGCCTTCATAGGTCAAGATGGGATGAGGCCTGGTGAGTCTGGCTGTTCATGATGCTGATAAACCACCAGCTTTGTATCTAACTGCATCATATCGATGAATCCTCTCTACCATCCTGTGGCTTGCTGAGGCTCAGAAACCAGAAAGTGATAGAGCCACCCAGTGTGAGGATGCCAGATTCCACATGCTTAGCTGCTTCTTCATGAAGCCTATGTCGCCTTTATGCTAGCTCTTCTGTTTGGGGCAGAAGTTTATTTTCTCGATGTGGCTTTGTGACTGGGCTGGACCCAATCACAAAGGATGACCGTAGGCAACAAGGAGAGGCTGAACAGTCACAGTGATCACTGTATTTATGATTTGCATAATTTGCAAATGATGGGCAGGTACACAGAATAAAGACTTATGGCACAAGGCCCTCGAGTAGAGGAAGCTGGCTTTGGGAGCAGGGCCCTCAGGAGCCCTTTATGATCAGAGCTGTCCATCCTTGTACATCTATCAGGGGCCCTGGCCACAGCTCTGCTAGGTTCCAGTAACTTTCCCAGACCTGGCTGGAAAAATCTCCAGAATGGCAGGCCACCGGGCAGCCTTCCTGGGAAAGCCAGTCTTGTGCTGAACCCTCCTTCCTATTCATGGAAAAGTACAGGCAGATCGGTGCCCTTCAAGCCTGCAGGCAGATGTCCTCTGTACTCCGCACATGCTGCCCCTGTATTCTCCAACTGTGAATGCTGATTGGCTTGTCCTTGGGCCAGGGCTGGAGGAAAATAGCTTCCCCAAAAAAGCAGTTTTTAAAAAGTATCTGGAAAATGTCCACAGTCTAAGTGGGGGGTGGGATGTCTTCTAGACAGGCTTGTATTGCAGCTGAGGACTCTGTGGTCCTCCAACATAACCCAGGGAAGGAATGTGAAACCCTACCCCCAAGGAGCAAAGGGTTTTTTTTTTTCTTTCTTTCTTTTTGCCAGTTCTGATATGGCCAGGCTTGTGGAGCTTGCTGGGAGTCTTGGCCTCCTGGAGGCTGCTTCCCAAGCCTGTAGTGCAGCAGTGGGCAAGTCAGGACACCTGGCTGGGTATCCCAGGTGCTCACCCAGGCCTCCCAGCTCTCCCCTCCCTCTCCCTCTCTACTCCCTCCCTCCCTCTCCTCTCCCCTCCCTTGGGTAGTGTGATACACAGTTTTTATATATGATCTCTCACGTGATCCCCTAATCTTGGCAGAGCTGTGCTTGGCCTCGACAGTACCCCAGAGTGGGTGAGTGCCCGTGAGAGTCATTTCATTTCTTCAGGCTGGAATTTTCTCACCTCACAATGCTAGTGCTGGGTTGGATGAGCTCTGATGTCTCAGAGCCTTCTGCTCCAAAAGCTTTGGGAGTCTCTACCTGCTGATCAAAGCCCAATTTCCTAGCCTGTGCTAGTAATACTGTTCCTTTCCACACAGGCCACCTGCCTCATTCCCCAGCACCCAATCTGCCATGACCTTTCCAGATACTCACCTTGACTAGATGGAGTCAGCCAAATGCCGATTCTGGATGCCCAAGGCCTGCTCTTCCAGGCATCCCCACGCACAGTCCGGGCTGTGGTGCTCACATGGAACACTTCTCAGCACCATAGAACCTTGCAGGCCCTGGCCTGGGATGACAGACTGAGGCTGGGATTGGAGAAAAAGATTTACATGTGCAGAGGAGGTGTGTGTGTGTGTGTGTGTGTGTGTGTGTGTGTGTGTGTGTGTGTGTGAACTCATGGTCTCAATGTGAGGGATTTAGAGTGTGGATCTTGGTAAATGGTCAAGGAAGACTAAGCGAAGGGAGGTTTTTGACCAGGACAGAGGAAACACTGTGGTGATTCTCCCTTAGGCTAAACTTCTTGATTTGGGCTGAATGGTTTGGGGTACATTTCTTTTTTCTGAACCAGGTGGCTAATGTTCTTTGAACTAACAGCATGGGAACTGTGTTCCTGAGCATTAGTGGGCTGGATGGGCATGAGGGCTTGGCTTTCTCCTCTGCTAATGGCAGAGCATCAGACTGGCTAGACTTGGCCTGGTGGCCTGGTGGGGTGGGGGAGCATGTGTTGAGATGACTTGGGGAACAGGGAGGTCTTGGCAGTGGGAGCAGGGTGGGCTGACTTTTTGTCTTCTGCGTGTGACAAGAGAGGGAAGGGAGGGTAGAGGTGGTGGTATGGCCCCAGGCTCTCCCACCACCCCCCATGTTCAAAATCCAGTTTATTGAATTTACAGTAAAGGTTTTACGGGCTTTCCTGGAAGCGTCTCATTATGGAAACTCTTGTGCTAGCAGTTTGGTGGCTGGTGTCTGGTTTGCTTGGGAGAGGTTGAGTCAGGCCCTCTCTTGATGGAAACTTCCTTTGCTGGGTCACCCAAGGGGAGGACCCGGGGGCTTCCCTTGAGGAGATGGGCCATCTTGTAGCTCTGTCTTCACTGGCCCTAACCCGCTTTCTCTCTGACCCTTTCCTGTGGGTTCCTGACATCTGCTCCTCAGTGGAAGTGTGTTGAAAAGGTCAGCCTTATAATTAGAACCATCTTCATTATTTTTCACATTTTTGCAAAGCATCAGATGATGGTCTCCTGAGGAAAAAGAAAAACCATCTCTACAAGAAGGGACTTGTTAACCATCAGGAAGATAGAACTAAATTTATAGGCCACATCTAAATTAGAGTCCATGGCCCTGGCATAAGGTGTCAATAGCTACCGACCTCCAGACTGCCACTTGAAAATTCCTTTCTTGGCTCTCCTGGCATCCTCTGGGACTCCCTCTCTGTGGTTTCCTCCTCTAGGCTGAATTCTGACTGCAAGATGGCTGACTACTTCAGACACTGTCTCTAGGCTCTTCGATTAGGAATGTGGGTGATTGTGACACAAGGAGACCTTGAACTGGCGCTGATTTCCAGCTCTGTGCAGCCTCCCTGGCTGTCAGTCCCTGAAGCACAAGTCACTTGGTCTGTCCCATGTACTTCCTACTTCAGCATTTGCATGGATGATGTTCATATCCTTCAAAACCGGGACATCCAGGAACCTGAATAGGCTGGCAACTGTGAAGTTGGGCTTTCTTTTTTTTTTAATTAAAAATTGTTTCTAAGCAGGAGAGAGCATGCATGCAATGCCCCACTACCACAAACTATGCAGACAAGTTTCCCACATTTGGGGAAATCACAGGGGTCAGTATATTGGAGAAAAATGGATAGATAAGCTTGTCCTGGGAAAACCACCTTTGTGATCATGGTGTCCTCTGCCAGATAAGTACTGGAGCTGCTTTGGTGAGGTTCTTTTAGACACTCATGTGCTGTGTGTCCTGTGTACACTTGTGTGCTGTGTGAACTGTGTATACCCGTGTGCTGTGTGAACCATGTACACTTGTGTGCTGTGTGAACTGTGTATACCCGTGTGCTGTGTGAACCATGTACATTTGTGTGCTGTGTGAACTGTGTACACTTGTGTGCTGTGTGAACCATGTACATTTGTGTGCTGTGTGAACTGTGTACACCCATGTGCTGTGTGAACTGTGTACACTTGTATGCTGTGTGTCCTGTGTACACTCGTGTGCTGTGTGCACTGTGTACACTCGTGTGCTGTGTGAACCGTGTACACTCGTGTGCTGTGTGAACCGTGTACACTCGTGTGCTGTGTGAACCGTGTACACTCGTGTGCTGTGTGAACCGTGTACACTTGTATGCTGTGTGCCCTATGTACACTCGTGTGCTGTGTGAATCCTATACACTCGTGTGCTGTGTGCCCTGTGTACACTCGTGTGCTGTGTGCACTGTGTACACTCGTGTGCTGTGTGCCCTGTGTACACTCGTGTGCTGTGTGCACTGTGTACACTCGTGTGCTGTGTGCCCTGTGTACACTCGTGTGCTGTGTGAACCGTGTACACTTGTATGCTGTGTGCCCTGTGTACACTCGTGTGCTGTGTGAACTGTGTACACCCGTGTGCTATGTGAACTGTGTACACTCGTGTGCTGTGTGAATCCTCTACACTTGTGTGCTATGTGAACTGTGTACACCCATGTACTGTGTGCCCTGTGTACACCCATGTGCTGTGTGAACTGTGTACATATGTGTGCTGTGTAAACCATGTACACTCGTGTGCTGTGTGAACTGTGTACACTCATGTGTTGTGTGCCCTGTGTACACTCGTGTTATATGCCCTGTGTACACTCATGTGCTGTGTGAACTGTGTACACTCATGTGCTGTGTGCCCTATGTACACTCGTGTGCTGTGTGAACCATGTACATTTGTGTGCTGTGTGAACTGTGTATACCCGTGTGCTGTGTGAACCATGTACATTTGTGTGCTGTGTGAACTGTGTATACTTGTGTGCTGTGTGAACTGTGTACACCCGTGTGCTGTGTGAACTGTGTACACTCATGTGCTTTGTGCACTGGGTACACTCATGTGCTGTGTGCCCTATGTACATTTGTGTGCTGTGTGAACTGTGTATACTTGTGTGCTGGGTCCTAGGTACATTCGTGTGCTGTGTGCCCTGTGTACACTCGTGTGCTGTGTGCTGTGTGAACCATGTACATTTGTGTGCTGTGTGAACTGTGTATACCCGTGTGCTGTGTGAACCATGTACATTTGTGTGCTGTGTGAACTGTGTATACTTGTGTGCTGTGTGAACTGTGTACACCCGTGTGCTGTGTGAACTGTGTACACTCATGTGCTTTGTGCACTGGGTACACTCATGTGCTGTGTGCCCTATGTACATTTGTGTGCTGTGTGAACTGTGTATACTTGTGTGCTGGGTCCTATGTACATTCGTGTGCTGTGTGCCCTGTGTACACTCGTGTGCTGTGTGCTGTGTGAACCATGTACACTTGTGTGCTGTGTTTTCTATGTACACTCATGTGCTGTGTGCCCTCTCTATGAAGGTATCAGGAACTGTGTCAGAGCCTCACTTTATTGGGGGGCAAATCTGGACTGTCTTAGAGCTACAGAACCTTTCCATCAGTCCCTAGTGTCCAGATATCATTCCACTGCTGTAGGTGTCACCAGAGACGCCCTGCAAGTGTTGGCCTGGGCAGTCTCTGAGATTGCTGACCTGAGGCACCATGGTGGGGGGGGGGCTGGAACAACTTTTCAGATGTACCAGTGTGAGCAAGCCTCAGTTCTCCCTCACACGCAGTTTCCCTCTGTGGGAAAAGGAAGGCAAAGGGGAACTTGGCCAATTGCCAAGTGAGTCAAACTCACCTGAGAGCATCTGGAACTAGGATGGCACGGGCTGGAATCACCCCTTCTCCCTTCTTCTATTGTGATGACAGGCACTGGAAACACGCCTGTTTGAGAATAAACAGCTGCTTGGCCCCATTGGATACATAGTGTATACGGCAGAGCACAGTCTGGCTGTTTCCATGGACAGCTCTCCCACTGTCCCTGCCTCTAACATGCAGGTCTGGGCCTGTTTAGTTTAGACAGTGAACCCCTGGGGAGGGCGTGGGGCTCTAAGCTTCACTAGGCCAACTGCCTGTCTACTATTGATGACTATGGCAACGACAGCACCCATCTTACCGGTACCACTGCCTGTGACTTTTACAGTAGCGCTGGGAGGCAGCAAGGGCTGGAGACAAATGGCCAAAGCGGACAGAAGGACATACAGACAGCTGTGGCAACAGAACCAGACCTAGAACATGCCCTGCCTGTGTGTTTAGCTGGAGTCATTGTACACACATGTGCACGCACTAAGACTGGAAGTCAGTGCTGGGTGTTTCCCTCTATTGCTGTTCACCTTGGTTATTTGAGACAGGGTCCTGTCAGTGAACCTGGAGCTTGCCATTTTCACTTGTTTCCAACATGTCCATATGGACATGAGCATCATGTCCATAAGAAGGGCTTTCTCCAGGGACTCTTCAGGGCAGATGAGGGCTCAGTCATGGTGCTCAGGGAGGCAGAGCCATAAGCTATGGTCCTGTCCCTATTTCTGCATCCCCGAGGGAGGAGCAGGGCAGAGGATCATGGCTTGTGTGGCTGATGGTATTATCATGTGCCTGCAGGTCTATCTTGCACTGAACAGTGATGGGAAGCCAGTCACTCTTTCCCTGAGCTAACTACAAGAACTCTGTCTCATGCTTCTGGCCTTCCCGACACGAGCCGATCCATCCGGTCACTTTTACCACACACACAGGGAAAGTGAGAGCTTCCCTGACTGTGCAGGTTTTGTAATCTAGTTGATAAGTTAACAAGACAATGGAAGTAGGATAATGAATGCTTCAGAGAATTACAGAGGGGGAGAGAGACCGAGACAAAGAGACAGAGAGAGACAGGAGCAAAGAACAGAGAAAGAGACAGAGAACACAGAGAGGCAGAGATAGAGAGGGACAGAGAATAGACACACACACACACACACACACACACACACACAGAGAGAGAGAGAGAGAGAGAGAGAGAGAGAGAGAGAGAGAGAGAGAGAGAGAGAGAGGGTGGGGAGAATGAGAGAGAATACCAGCAAGAATAAAGTTTAGATTCTGGCTGAGTATGGGAAGCAGGAGTTCATCTAACAGGCTTCCTGGAATTCCAGGTGTGAAGTAGGAAGGGCATGGCCCTGGGCCATTGGTGGAGGGGAAGGAAAGGCACACCTGAACACAGGGAGTGGGTGGCATTGTGGTTCCACCCAACTTCCCTCATTGCTCCAGGCTCTGACAAACACATGGTTTTTATTTTCCTACAAGGCCATTCCCTGATTGGGAGGGTGTCTTGACCTAGCTGCAAGTAAACTGTAGGCCTGCCAGAGGCATGCTTGTGGGAAAAGATGAGCCTGGCCACTCCATGTCCCCTCCAATGGTTCGGAACTGGAAAACACAGAAAGAAGTGATGGACGATTGTGCTAGCTAATTTCTTCATGGCTGGCACAAAATGCCCGGCAAAAGCAATTTGAAAAAGGACAGTTTGTGTTGACTTGTAAGGGTACATCATGGCGTGAAGCCTGGTGAAAAAAGCATGGGGCAGCTGGGCACATGGTGTGTGCAGCCAGGGAGGAGAGATGCTCAGCTTACTTTTCTGTTAAAAACAAATCACCACAGGGAGCTGGGCAGCTGGCTCAGCAGTCACATTCCCTTGTTGCTCTGTGAGTACCTGTGCCTGGCTACCGGGACTTACATGAATCCAGTTCTAGCTGATCTGACACCCTGACATCCTCTTCTGACCTCCACGGGCACCAGGCACACATACAGTACAATACCTACATCCAGGCAAAACATTCAGACCATGACAGAAAGATATGTAAATATTCACAGCATTTTTTACATTTCTTTGTGTACACATGTGGGAGTCAGAGCACAGCTCTGGGACTCAGTTCTGGCCTATCATGCGGACTCTGGCATTGATCTCAGGCTACCAGGTTTGACGGCAAGCAACTGTACCTGCTGAGACGGCTTGCTAGTGTACACTTTCTCTTTTTTATTCAGTGTGTAACTCCAGCCAATGGGATGTATTGTCCAGGCAGGGTGTGTCTTTCCTCATCACTAAAACCTCTCTGGAAACACTTTTGAGGATGCCTACAGAGCTTTGTGTCTTAGGCGATTCTAAGTCCTATCAAAATTGACAACCAAGCTGAGGTGGAAAGAAGCCGCAGACTGGGGAACTGGAGGATGGGCCATGCTGTAGAAGACATCAGGGAAAGGCCCAGGAGGGAGTTATAAGGACAGAGGAACACTGGGAAGAAGATGGGCAGACTCACTGCCCAGGGCTGGAGGCTGCTACACAGCTAGAACCAACCTCTAGCTGCTGCCCTCACTGCCTTATCGGCCTGCCTTTCTCTGGCTTCCCGAGTCATTGTTTCCCTTCAAGAGACCTTTAAGACAACAGGACACACTGGCCAAGCTTGCTCATGCCAACAGAATTTGTGTAGCATTACTGAAGCCTTGGAGGCCTGGAGAGGGAGAGGCAGACACATGTGCTATGCTTTTCCATGGAAATGCATGTTCATACTCACTTCCAACACAGGGCTCCAATGATCACAGAGCAAGCAGCAGGGGCTCTGGAGACTGCAGAGAGAGGGGACATGCAGGAGCCAGCCGGGAAGACTTCCCGAGAAGTCCACTTAGCAGAACTCTTGGTCATAGCAGTAGAAAGGCTAATGTTACTTTCCTCCAGAAGGTAGATGCCATTTGAGATCCAGTTATCTCCTCACATGCTGAGAATCTGATTGATTGGAGAGTGATACTGTGGCCCTTACGTGGAGCAAAACAATGCTGATAGGATCGATGGTCTGGAGGGGACCAATTTTCGGCTGTCCTGAAGTCTATTTC